AAACTGGGAAATGTATTGTTGGTGACACAAATCAAGAAGTAGGGTTGCTCTCCTGTATTCCAGTATATGGTCAGACTTCTTACTGATTGTGCATTTACTCCCTTCACATTTAGACACTTCAGACTCTCAGAGTGCAGCATCGAGTCAGTTAAACCTCTGGGATATTGATCTGGTCTGTTAAGTAGCAGAGTAAGCTGTTGATCAGTTTCAGATGATTTGGACATTTTTACCCACTTCACCTATTCTTACTGTTTTTCACTATTTTTGCATTTGGCTAGGGCCAGTGTCACACTGGTAAAATGAGGCGATACCTGGACCCTACAGGGGTTGCACATGTAGTCCAACTCCTCCAGGATGGGACATCAATACAAATGATTGCCACATTTGCTGTATCTCCCAGTACAGTCTCACAAACATGGAGGACATTCCAGCAGACAGGTAGTTACTCTAGAAGAGCTGGATTTGGCCATCTGCTCCTTTATGCAAGGAGAAACAGCTGCCAGAGCCTGCTAAGCACCTCAGATTGGCAAGAAGGCCCGACATATTTTAGTGGTCCCTGTGCTCGCTGCCTGACAACGTAGAGCCCGACTGGTATTTGCCATAGAATACCACAATTGGCAGGTCCACTACTGGCACCTTATGCATTTAACCGATGTAAGCAAGTCAAACCTAGCGTGTGACAGATGCCAAAGTGTCTGAAGAAGCTGTCGAGAACGTTATGCTGCCTGTATCATTGTTCAGCCCTGGGTGTTGGGTCAGTGAGGATCTGGAGAGGTATGTCCATGGAGGGCCACACAGACCTCTATAGGTTAGGTAACAGCACCATGACTGCCATCAGGTATCAGGATGAAATCCTTGGACCCACTGTCAGACCCTACACTGGTGCAGTGAGCCCTGGGTTCCTCTTGGTGCACAACAATGTATGGCCTCATGTGGCGAGAATACACAGGCAGTTCCTGGGGGATGAAGGATTTGATATCACAGAATGGTCCCCTTGCTCACCTGACCTAAATCCAACAAAACACCTCCGGGACATTATGTTTTGATCCATCCAGTGCCTCCAGGTTGCACATCAGACTGTCCAGGAGTGATGATCTGGTCCGGACCTGAGAGGAGATCACCCAGGACACCATCCGTCGTCTCATTAGGGTCATGCTCAGACTTTGTTAGGCATGCATTCAAGCATGAGGGGGCATACAAACTGAGTATCATTTTGAACTGCTGCATGAAATTTCCCACATAATTTTTCACACTGATTGTTTGGGTTGATAAGTTTAATTTCCATTAGTACAGATATCCATATGATAATATGATATGTTTTTAAAGTACTCCAACAGGACAGTAACTGGCCTTCGCATTCATAACCATTAGAATAAAAGCTTGCCTATAAATGCTTGGGGACAGAAGGCAAACATAGTATTCTGTAACACATATAATACCTTGAAGACTAATATGCTGACATTTTGGTTATACCATCAACATTAGATGCATTTTGAATGGTCAGATGGTATTTATTTCCCTAATCTTTCTTTGGTTATTTCAGGTAACAGGAAGTGTCTGAAATCTTTGTGTATCCCATCAAAAAATGTCCTAGAGTGAAGTTAGTCGAGATGGCAGAAGAGGAATACAAAGACTAAAGACAAAGCGGTGGGAAGGAGAGATGAGCTTGGAAGTGAGAGGAGAAGGAGACAGAGAGGGAGAGAGAGGTGTCCGTGACTCTCTTTCTCCAAATAAACAAAAAGTAAACACCGGTGGAGGAAACACTGTGACACTTGATGCTGCTGATCGCTCCTCCACCTGCCCACTCAGGTTTCCCAGAAGACCATTCTGCCAACCGCAGGACAAAAGCAGCACCAAAAGCCAACACCTCTCTCCCCCCGAAGCACTCGGACACAAAAGCGAGGGAGAAAAAAGCGATACAACACCTTTGTTTGCCGAGATTAAAACATGTTGCATTCTCTGCCTCCCTCCCTCTCTCCCCAGAGGTAACTCTACCAGGCAGGAGATGTGACTGTCAGCGAACTCTCTCCGTTCTAGGCAGCGCATAAAATCCGCCTTATTATTTCCGTGTTTCCTATTGTCTCGGTGTCATTGTGGCGAGTCTTGTGACACTGTGATTAGCTGATCAGGCTTGGCACAGCGTGAATGGGGCATCTCCTTTTGCTGTGCCTCCTGTGTGATACAGGTATAAAGTTGGTGATGTGACCAGACTTGTGCCCCAACCCAATTGTTAATGAACGAAACACAATCGCAGCTGATAAAAAGCAAAGGGAAAAAAACAAAACAAAACACCCTTACCTTCCCATATAGGGAATGCATCTCTGGTGATAACAGCTCAACAAAATCCACACATGGACTAACACAAAGCACTGCTGATTCAAAGAATAGGTACAGCTCTGTGTGTGCAGCAAATGCCTGATGAATTGAGCCATCTTGTCGTCGAGTTGGCAACAGCTCTTATGCAATTCCCAGGATTTTTATAAGTTAGGAGTTAACATGTGCACCAACACGCACATCAAAACCACCAGTCTGTCACTACAATGGGCAACTGTGGCAGGGAGGTCAGCCCTCAGATGCTCACTCTCACCACAGGGAGGTTTGTGGCAATCTGGCAACTGCAGTAGGAGGTCTCACTCTCATCAGCACTGCTGGATCAAGACCACTTCCTTACCTTTCTTTACTCTCATCTGCACAGGCTTTAAAATAGAGCTCACAAATTATTTGCCTGCAGTTGTTTCAAACCTCTTTCTTCATACGAAATCATTTACAGTGATCTCTGAGGAAAAATTAAAGGAAAGAAGGGATTGTTTTATGGAGAGAAGTGCAAACTTTGGAAAGGCTTATGGAGACCAAACTAAACAGATACATATAAGGCTCACTTGAAACTCTCCCCTTTATCCCGCAAGACAACAAAATGCCCAGATGACGACAGTGGGTGAAGAAGTGTAAAGTGGAGGTGTATTCAGGTGCCATGTAAGCTGGTTTAATCCTCCTTCATAGCATTTGTTGTGTCATTAAAGCTGTATGGGGTTGGGGATCATGTGACATGGGGCCTATTGACTTCTGTAGCCCTTAGCTAGGACACAACAGAGAGCCAGTGTGGTTTTCAGGGTTGCCACAAGTCAAAAGTGGATTTTCAAAGGCAGGTGTACCCTCAAAGACCACATAGGACCTTTTTTTTCTAGAATAAAAACGTGATAAAATTCAATAACAGGAAGACAAAAATAGACTCAACGTTTTACTCAGCAGCTTTATTTTTGTGCAAATCTCAGGAAACACAGTAGCTGAGAGACAAGAGATATGCTTTGCTTATACGTACCACAAGTCATCGGACCTGGCTACATGGATAAAAGAGTACAGATGTGCTATGGCATCCCTTTATGTGCCATGTGAGTGAAAGCAGTCTTTTTTTATTAAGATAAACGTGCTGAGGTTACTGCCTTTATTTAAAACCAGTCCATCGTTGTCCAACAATGAATTTTAAGACTTAATTTCTATTATTACATTCAGCTATGTGAAGGATTTTACTTTTATTCTCACCGAGCCTTGTAAGAAAAACATTCTACATTGCTGTTTCATTCATATATTATAACTGGAGAAAATTATTTTTTATAGGATACAGTACCATAAAGAGTTACAGCATATAGAGCGTGTAATATTGTGCATTTGATATTTTTTTAACATGAAAAAACACAAAAAAAGTACAATGTTGTCAAGAACTGCAGTTTCCCAGTGATGTTGGTCATTCAAGTTTTCTTTAATAACAAGTTCGATTCAAAGGTGAGACGAGATGGCACCATGCAGTGTGTAAGGCTGAGGTTTCCTACAAGAAGCCAAGTGAAGGATGAATGTATTTGGTAACAAAAGAAAAGAAGTATTAAGGAGTATTGTACTCTGCAAAGAAATGAAACAGAATACAGTCAGGTCCAGTCCAGTCGGCTTGTGTTTGGACAGAGACGCCCTTTGTTGTTTGTTTGCAGTTTTACTCTAAAAGTCCACAAATGGATTTTTTTTTTTTAACGAAGCAGTACAGATTTGATTTGAATTTAGACTTTCAGCTTTAATTTAACATTTTACCTTACTGTGCTATTCACAGAGCTATTCTACTTTATTTAAGCTATGTTGTGCTTAATGTTTTGGCTGCTGTGACACAGTATTTTCCCAAGTTTTAGGATAAATAAACGATAAAATATTAAGTGTTTGGGTATTACAGCCATGTAACAAACAGTTTATCCACGTTCCTGGGCTACATGAGCTGTATGGTCCTCATTATTTCCCCATAATATACGACCCTGACTGTAAATACTAAATCTGTAACTCTTAATTCTTTTTTTTTTTAATGAGAAAGTCCCAGTAAATATGACTCTACATTGGTTAATTGTTAGATAGCATGTTGTATGTGTTGCCGCTCTACTCAGTCTGGCTACTCTGTATTTGCCTCCTGTGCATCGTACCATACAGCGTTGATACGAGGTAGCAATTTTTTTTCCCATTTACAGCTGTAAACCATACAACCCAGGAGAATGATTAACAAATTTACATACAGTTCATTATGACCGAACAAGCATAACAAAGAAGCAATATTGCTTTTGGCTACAGCTCTTATTGCTGTCTTATGACAATATTAAAATAGCTCAGATGATTTTATAAAAGGCTTTGATTTTTTTTCCCTTTGATTCCAAGTGATTCTTTTAGACTCCAAACTGCCCAACATTATCCACACCTCATCATCCTCCCTTCAGAAAACTCTACACACTAATCCTTACCTACCCAGTATCTGCAAGCCTCGCCGTACTCCAGTATTTTTAAGACTTTATATATGCAAAAATAAAATATCGCAAATCTGCCAGGGACATGATGTGCAATTAAGAAAACACTCAACAAGAAAAAAACTCTGTGACAGAGTACTTAAATAGCATGGCTGATTTTCCATTAAAAATGGCTGAGATAAACTTATTCAAGATCTCGTAAACTGAAATGAGTTTCTGAAGTCATGTGAGTTACATTTAACAGGATTCAAGAGCTTTTTAATGAGTCCAAATACTCAAATTATTTCACCACTGTTTCAGCACCTAAGCCAGGATGTTTCACCCTGATCTCATTTGGGCTGCTGGTGTTCCCTAAGAGCACCGGTGAAGGTAGCTGTCCACACGTGCAGGGCCGTTCCGGCAGAGAGGGTGAGGAAGAAGAGGAAGGCAACTTGGAAACCAAACCAATCCACCAAGCCTCCGGCCAGAGCGCTGAACATCAGCTTCCCCAGCACCTCGAGAGTAGCCAAGAAACTGTAGTGGGTCGCCTACAGGGAGAATTGGCAGCCGAGAGGTAGGATGAGGGGAAAAGAGATTAAAAGGGGAAGGTAAAGTAGAAGGAAGTGAGAGGAGAGAAGGGGAAATGGAGAGTTTGGGAAAGAAAGACACATTGTGAGTAAAAAGAGATAGCAGTATTGGGAGTAGAGTGCAACACAGTTACAAAAAAGAAAACAAAAAACGTGAGACTTCATCCTATCCACCAGCACAGCTTATCACCTTCTGTCTCTTAGGCATTAACATGGTTAACACAATTAACCACTACAGGGAGAAACAGGGCGAGAGATTTGATCTGAAAACTTCTGGGAAAAACAAACTGCAAAAGAAGAGAAAAATCCAAAATGCTGGAATACTGGAAGAGAAAGCGTGAGATCATGGCCTGAGATGATGGAAAGAGGCCAAGTGAAGCAGGCTATCTGATCTCAGCCTTAGGCTTTCAAGAGCGGAGTGAGAGAGGGAGAACAAGAAGGAAAGAGATTACCTAATCTCCCCAAGCCTCCTCCCTCTGCCCAAGAGCAGCAGGTAGCTCTGACAAACATGGAACTCTAGTGACACCTAGACCATTACCTGAGCACATTAATTAAAATTAAGAAAAGCAGAATTCATTAGAACAAATGCTTCGAGTCCTATAATCAGAATACATTTACAAGAAGCCTGCACTGTTAATTGTGAATTTCCCAACTCTGGGGCTAATAAAGAAATCTTATCTTATCTGACAAAGAAATATTTTATCTACAAATTAGTTTTTGTGTTACAAGAGGAAAAAGATACCACACTTAACTTTATAGGACGTTTTTACAACTTTGTCGGGTTCAGAATTGTGCTTTTGTTTGCACACTGTCAACGAGATAAACAAGGGTAACATTACAATCCCTTAAATGTCCCGTGCTGCAAGAAATACTCGTAAGTGTTTCTTACTAAGTGACTTAAGTGTTTCCTGCATATTATTTGTATTACTGTAGGAACAGAGCCATGACAGTTAGTCCAATAATTTATCAGCAGATTAACCCTTAACTGGGATCACTTTGATTTCTGTTTTTTGTTAAAGCAAAAACATTTAATATTCTCTGCAGTAGGGCTGGGCCATATTATACCGTTCACGGTAATACCGGTATAATGTTAGGCAATGATAGGAAAATGAAATATCGCGACAGAATATGAGTAAAATGCGCATGCGCAGTGCCTTTGTTTTCATACACACATGGCAGATTGTTGAGTGAAACAGATGAACCAGAATTGGTTTGTAAAAATGGTGCAACTTCAGTGATGTGGAACTGGTTTGGTGTTTGTCTGTCAGATACACGACAAAGCACATTTTTTTGCAGAACATGCAAGCGGCCGTCGTTATTGTCGTATTTGTCGGACTAAGATGCTCTTAAATCTGGGAGTAATCTGGGTCCTAAACTCCGTATATTTCAGGTCAAACGAACACTGCAGCATCACTGGGAGTTAAAAACTGTCTAAATTCTTTCATCTTTAATAAAACGATCAGCATTGCTGCTTTACCAGGTGTAACTATGAAGTTTAACTTCCAGGCATCCATGAAAACAAAACTTATTACATTTAATGGAGTTAGAAGTTAGCAGGAAGCTAGCAGAAGTTAGCTCGCTAGTTTCGCTAGTTACCTAAGCATGATATAGCATGTTCTGACTGATTTCTGAAAAAATTCAAACGTACAGCTCTGCTTTCACTTCCAACATAAATGAAGACAGGAAACTAAACAGCAGTGACGTTTGTAGGGTTACTGAAGTTGGGCTAGCTGGTATATAATGATGTGCTACGTGATCGCTAGCGACACAGCTATGTTAGCATAACATAAACAGTGAAGCTGGAGGACGAACACTAACACTTTTCCACTTATAAAAGTTAACGTGAAGGTTCCTGATAGTTAGAGACAAATGCAATCGCATGGCAGGATGCTGTAAACGGCCCAAACTTCAGTCAGGAGAACAACTGAGATAATCCATCCACAATACGAGGTTAGTTATACTGCAACAACATGGGAATAGAGCGGTTGCCAAAGAATTCAACATTAATGAATCAATGGTACAGAAGTGGAGGAAGCAAGAAGAATGAGTTTAATAAAGTTTGATTTATCTGACTGCTTTGTTTCGCTTAATGTGCCTTATAATCCCGTGCACCTTATGGTCCGAAAAATACGTACTGCACACTACAGTTTAATGTTGCAAAGCACCTCTTTTTAACTTCAGTGGATATTATACATGGTTATGCTCAGGATATGTCAGCCCATTCCTACTAGAAATGCCTTTTGGTTAAACTTTCAGCAAGGAATTTGCATTTGCACTGTTACATTTTTATAAAGCTTTAATGTACATAAAAACCAGCTTCTTGTTTAAGTGAAAATAAATGGAAGGTTGTCTTTTTGCGCTAGTAATGTTGTGGAGTTGTATTTTGTCTCGCATCAATTATATCGTCAGTTATATCGTTATCGCAAATTTTCAAATATATATCGTGATAAATATTTTTGCCCATATCGCCCTACTCTACTCTGCAGTTCACTACAGTCTTTTCTTTTCTTATTTATGGGGGTTTTTTTTAGATTTTGGAGAATGGACCATGCTCACTAAATCAGCTGAGGGCATTTCTCACTGGAAAAAAACAAAGACTGAAAATCATATCAGAATCTGATGAGTGGTGAGTGGGGTCTGTGGTCTGCAGGCTGAGGTAGAGCGCTCTGAGAGCCTGTGTAACCACAGTTAAGTGAAGTGCCTTTATTCTGAGCAACTTGTTTAACGGATTCGGTTTCTTTCTCCTGGGGATCGTTAACAAGCACTCACAGTATCAGTTTTCTGTTACTGGATAGCACTACCTTCAGTAACGCACACATTTACACACCAAGCGCAGGTGAGCTAATGCTCTCCTCTCATGTATGTACACACAGACCAAAATCCCACACCGACACTACAAAGAAAAACAGCCAGTCTGTGTCATGAGAATCTCTCAGATTAACCTCTGCTCTCCTTGTGAAATGCTGTACTTGTTCTCTCTCCTTTCATTAAGTTTAATTTCATAACTGGATCCTGGTGTCTGTGCTTCAGCTTGTGATTTTTTTCCCCTTCATCTTTCTTTTTCACTTTAGGACTGACAGCAATTTAAATGATAATTTGTCACCTTCAGAGATTGACTGAGTGACGTCTGAATGGCTGTGTGAAAAACGATCACCTCCAGGCAACGCTGGCCCAGATACGACGGGGACAAAAGGAGTTATGTCAAAGAGGAGAAAATGAGCAAGGAGAGGAAAAAATTCAGAGTTGGAAAAGAGAGCGTTTAAAAGACTAGAGAATGACAAAGAGACAGGCAGTAGGAGGGACAATGTCAGCAAGGGGGCCAGCAATGCAAGGAAACTGGGGCTGCTGAAACTTGACATTTTCCAGGTGGAAACAGCTGATGAAAACTGACAGGTACAGGTGACAAAAGGTATGGCACTTAATGCTGAAAGATTTCCCTCTCCAGCATCACTTTGACAACCAAAGGAAATGAGCTAACATTACATAATTTAACCTAAACAGAGGTGGTTGGTTGGGGGGGGAGACAGAGGGTGAAAACAATGAAAAGACTGTATTGTTGGCTTGTTGAGCCACAGGAGACCTAACAGTAAAGCACAACGCAATAAACATTAAAAAAGATGATGACAACAGAGCAAAACTTGTACATGAAAGCAGCCCTGGGCTAGTTAATGAGCTTGTTGGCGGGAATGGACAGAACTCCTTTTTACCTGAATGCTTTCCTCGGCCCTCTGAGTGCAATGCATCATGGTAGTGAAGGTGAGCGTGGTGATGAGACCACCCAGGAAGTGTTGAACACTCATGCTCAAGACTGCCATACCTGAGAAAGCACACACACGCAAGTAAAATGGATCAAAACCAGCCTTGACGCATCTGAGTCTAACTACAATAAGACAACAGAAAACCCAGCAGTTCCTTTTCTGAAAGCAGGCAGAAAGCTTGCAGCTTTACACGTCGTTTTCTCTGCTACACTACTCACTTTACAATTCTATGTTAAAGTGAAAGCAGAGAGACAAAGCAGCGAGAAACGGTAATCTGCTGAAGTGCAGCTCCCCCCCCTCAGTCCCAGTCCCCAAAACACATGTAGTGTATCCTCTGAGGGGAAGTGGCAGAGCAGTGTTAGTGGGGAAACAGAGGAACCACAGAGCCTATCTGTCTCTGCTCCCACTAACACTGAATTATTCACTCAAGCCGCCAGAGTTTTTGCCGAGCAAGACTCTTCAGTCAGCGACATAAGACTGGTGGAGTCAAAAAGATACACCGACTGATCAGACTGGAAGAACGGGAAGCGGAGGGTTATCATGTAATATTGAAAAATCTGAAACTGAATGGTTTTTTTCTGTTTTGAGGGTTTTTAGTCAAGTTTTCCTGAAATCTTTGTTCTGGGTTTAAAATGGAGGCGGGAGATGCCTCTACTTTGAGTTGGAGAAGCTTGATAGGGTAAGAGACGGGCTCAGGAGGAGATGAATGGTGTGAATGTGAATCCCGACCGGCTGTTCAGCGCAATCAGATGTGTCATTCAGACATTAATGAATGAATAACTGTCTGGAGGGAGACCTCTCCTACAGACGTCCTCCACATCATGCATTAAGACTGAAAGCTTGAACTATAGGCCACTGGTTAACACAAGGTCTAACAGCATTTGAAACTGCCAGTGACATTAGTACCAGGCTTTACATCCAAAGTTTGACCTTTCAAACTTGACCCACTTTTCCTTCTAAGGGTTCTTCACTTGTCATACAGCTGACACAAAAAGTGTTCAAAATCTCAAACATTTTATATTGTAGTCATTCATGATTTCAACAACTCTCTTTTCCCCAATCTTCCTATTTTAGTTGCTCCCATTAAGGGATCCCAATAGGATTGTTCGCCTCCATCTAACCCCTTGCATTCTTTTCCGTCACTCCAACACTCTGCATGTCCTCCTTCACTACATCACGAATCTCTTTTCTTCCCGCCTGGCAGCTTCATGTTCAGCATCCTTTGTCCAATAATCCCACTATCCCTCCTCTGCACATGCCAAAACCATCTCACCCTTGTCTCTCTGATATCCTCATTTCTAATCTTGTCCATCCTGGTCACTAAGCACCTGGCACCTGTCTTTCTGTCAGGGCCGCCATCTCCAAACTACACATCATAAAAGGACTCACTACCAAGTTGCAAGCCTTTCCTTTCCCTCTTGCTGCACTCACCTGTCACAAATCACCCCTGACACTTTCCCCCATCCACTCCAACCTGCCTGCACCCTCTTGTTCACCTTTCTTCTGTACTGTCTGTTGCTTTGGAGGGTTGACTTGAGATATTTAAAATCATTATACCTGTCTCTCTCTCTTATTCATACACATGTATTCTGTCTTACTTTTGCTGACTTTCACTTCTGTTCTCTTCAGAGCACACTTCCACCTAACCAGGCTCTCATCCATCAGCTCTCTACTTTCACTACAGAGCACAATGTTATTTGGAGACATCACAGTCTCTCCATAGGCTCCAGCTAACTTCATCTGTTAGCCTGTCCATCACCACTGGAAACAAGAAGGGGTTCAGGGCCCATCCCTGATGTAATCGCACCCCTCACTTCAGACCCACCTGTCACTCCTACCACACACTATACAAATTGCCAGTTTAAAGAAGAAGGTTTTGGAAGCCCTACTTCTAAACGTCTCTTGTTATATATCCGACTGGAGCGATGACGTGTTAGGCCAATGACTACAGGTCAGCTTCAAGTGCACATGGAAATGCATTAAATCTGAATGAATCTACTGAAAGATTTACATCTTATCCTGTCACAACAAATGTCTAATGTAAAACCCTGCTACCGAAGTCTTACTTAACCTCAATATCAAGTTACTTTCCTGTCACTGTCACTATAAACAAACAAAGAAACAAATAAATAAATAAATAAATATCAGCTGCTTAACCACAGAACTAACACTCATTTTACACATATCCAGAACCTAAATGCACTAGCAGAAATACCATAAAACAATAGCATTGCAGTAAACCTGGGGACTATCATTGCTTGTGTCTTGCTGAGCCTGCCATAAGTACTGAACAGCATTATTTTTGCTGACTTCATTCCCTGCTGATAAAACTGTAACTGTGGCCACTGTTAGGCTTTGTAGCTTCACTGTGTTTGGTGTGTGTGTGATATTATTCACTGCCATTCACAATTTTTAAAACAAAGAATATAAAGATTCTAGGTTAATATGGGTCAGTGAGTATTAACACTTGTTTATTTGATTACTGCATATATGCTCATTGACATGATGACCAAACATGTAGCTCTTTGTTTTCATTGCCCGCTTCTGTCATATTTACATCAGAGCACCAAACATAAACCGGACTAAATAATCCAGAATTGTAGCATTTGTTAAAATATTTTGAAATCATTTACTTTGTGACCATTGTCTTATTGTGGGTTTGCTTCTCACCTTTCATGAGCGGTGATGGTTCGAGGACAGTGAGCAGAGAACTCTGGAAGACCATGCTGATTGTTCGCAACACAAACACGCGCCGCATCAGGGCCCCGATGCTGAGGAAAAACCAGCAAACAAGAAGATCATCAAAGAGCTGTTAACTAACTTTTAAGTGTATTGATGAGCAGTGTGATACCTGATGAAAGCCACTCCGAGCTAATATCATTAAATTTAGAGACACTTTGTTTGTTTCTTCGCATTTCACAGACGCACGCGCGCACACAGTTACATACGTGCACGTGCATAAGTAAACAAGTCCCCAGACACTAATTGATTCCCTGTTAGTGCAAGAAAATCATCCCCCTGTGGGTCTGGTTCATGACGTAATCAATAACCTAAGGAGATCCCCAGCATGAGAAAGATAATTAATCACTGTTAACATACATAAAAACACACACACGCACTCACACTGTTGTGTGACATCAGGGATTAACAATGCCAATCACTCAGAGGATACCTGCCACTCAAGGGACTGTGTGTGTTTGTTTATGGGTTTTTTTTGCATGTAATTATTTATGTGTTTTAAAAAAAGGTTGTGAGAAAGAAAGGGACACACAAGACAGGTTATCTGATTTAGTTAGGTAAGAAAATCTGAATTTATCTTTCATATTCAGACAGACTCTTTAAACATGTCTGCCAGTATAAATGTGACAGGAAACGAGGAGAAATAATGGTTCCTAAATAGATCTGTACCAGGGCTGTCGTGATTATATTTTCCAGCGGAGCTATCGACTATATTGATAAGTTATTTGATTACATGATTAATGGATTAAAACCTGTGCGTTTCAAAACATCTCAAAACCTAAAACCCAAGTTGATGCCATAAACTCTTTTAAATTTAATGTATTTTTATTTCTGTTCAAGACCCCCCCTCTTTCTTCTTTCACTCTTCCCTGTATCTTTATCTGGCTCTCTCTTCCCCCTGCACCCAGCGTTTCCTTACCTCTCTACTGGAAAACCAATCCTGCATCATTCACATGCTAAAGACATTCTTCTCTCTGTTGCTCCTTTGCCTCCCTTCTCAATGACAGCCTTTCATATCATGCGCTCTCAAGAGATGCTGAGGGATGTGTGTGTGTGAGAAAAAGAAACCTCCCTGGCTGCCACCTCACACGGGCCAGGCCCAGATAAGAATAACTACGTTCTCAGGTTGCCAGGGGCAGTTGTAAAGGGGGTCACTCACTGACCACTCAGCCGTTTCTGATGGTAGTGAGGATATACCTTCCAACGGAGCTTTTAGAGGAGGAACAACAGCCCAGCCTAACTAACAGCCCTTTCTGTGTGTGCGTATGTGTGTGTACGTGCAGGTGATGAGAAGTAGTAACCAAGTGGAGGAGCTGAGTGTACGTACAATCAGAAACTAGTTTTAACACTGAATCTACTACACATTTGTCATAACAGACCCACAGGCACAAACCACTGCTGTGCAATGATGTGATTTCACTTTTTAATTCTCACAGCTTGTAAAATCAAGTTAAAACTAAGGGGTTATCTTCAGCAGTCACAGGAGAAAGCATCATACCAAAAATAAAAGAAAAACAGTTCATACTTGAGAAAAAGAATTCTTGATTCTCACAAAACAGGAGATGATTATACGAAATATTCACTCCACCTGTACAGGAATGGACTGTGAGAATCCAGTAAAAACATCACTTTTGCAGAAGACACACTTTCAAGCCAGAGTGAAGCATGTCAAGGACAACCCAGATTTGGTCGGATGAGACAAAACTAGAACCACAGTACCTGCAAAGAACCCACACAGGCACAGGGAGAATGTGCAACCCCCACGCTCAAACCCAGAGCTTCACACAGTTCAAATAAATTACTACTATACATTTCAGGGGAAGACAGTTTGAGACTGGATGAAGCCAGTGATTTATTTCCCAATGTACAGTCTTTGAATTTTATTGTACAATGGTTTTAAGCCTAAAACATCACCAAGAATACTTACTAAGTATATTTTGGGTCAGTGCAAAACCTTGCAAAACGAAAAAAAGATTGGTAATGAAATTGATGGCTTGTACAAATTTAAAGGTATAATTTCCAGGCTAAATCTGTCTATCTTGTGCAAAATAACACATTTAGAGAGTATTCTCTGTGTTGTGAGGGTGTGAAGATTTTACCGCCTTTACAAGTTACATAGGTGTGAAATGGAGACATCTTTTGAAAGCACTTTCCCTAAAAAAAAAAAAAAGAAGAAATTTTTGCCTTTGGAGGCTTTCTTTGTGCTTGCTAGTGTCACCTGACAAGTGGAGAAAGCCTGGAATCCAAGTGGAAGAAAAAGGACAAACAGACTGACATAAGAGAGAGCACATGGCAACTGATACATGTCAACAAACAGGCAAGCAAACACACTCATACAGCACTGACACAGATAACAAAACAGGGCAACAGAGACTTTGCTTATCCATTAGCTCGTCATTATACCATGTACATCTAACATATGCTAATTACTTTATGCATATAGGTGCAGAATGTTCTAATCAGCAAAGATGTGAATTAATAGCAAGAATAAGGATTTATATTAAGACTACATCACTGCATGGAGTGGGAACTAACATAATATCCTCTGTCCAGGTATTGTTGTTAGTCACAGTTCCCATCGCATCACAATGGCCATAGGCAGGGCCGTCCTACAAAGTGATTCTATAGGCAGATCGAATAATCTTACATAACTGTGGTCAGGTGCAAATGGCACAATTTTATGTCATCTGTATTTAACATGGAAAATGTTTAAAAATCATATTATTAACACAAAAGATGTTTATTCAAATACACCAGAGTCTATGGAAATTTGTCTTTTTTTATTATTGTAAGATTGACAGGTTTGTTTGTTTTTCCTGAAAAGGTTTTTGGTATAAACAGTAATTAACAAATCTCATAACTTTACAAATCTTTAAAAAGTTTTATAAATTACTTTTTTGGCTCCTCCCTTCAAGAGTCACCAGAATGGATCATCTTCCTCCATCTCACCTGATCTCACCCCATTCCTAGCATCCTCTTCTGTCACACCAACCCTCCACATGTCCTCCTTCACCACAGCCACAAATCTTCTCTGTGGTCTTCCTCTTTTCCTCCTGCCAGGCAACTTAATCTTATCCAGTATCTGTACTCTATACATGCCTAAACCATCTTGCCCCTTTTTGTCTCCAAACTGCATCTAAGCTGTCCCTCTGATGTACTTGTTTCTAATCCTATCCATTCTGGTCACTCCCGGTGAAAAGCTGAGTATCTTCAACTCTACCACCTTTCTTTTTGTTAGTGTCACCATCATAGATGGTCTTGCTAACATCTTGCAAACCTTCACTTGCCACTTTCCTTCTGTCATACATCACCACTAACACTCGTCTCCACCCACCCCACCTTTCCTGCACTCTCTTCTTTACCTCTCTTGTGAACTACTGTCCATTGCTTTGGACGGTTGATTCCAGGTATTCAAACTCCTTTACTACCCTTCTCCATTCCATAAGCATTCTGTCTTGCTTCTGACTTTCATTCTTCTTTTCTCCAGAGCATACTTTTACCTCTGAAGTCTATCTTCCACCTCTTCCCTACTTTAACTACAGATCACCATTACCATCTATAAAGACCATAGCGCACAGTCTTCCTTCCTGACTCCTCTGTTAACCTATTCATCACTATTGGAAACAAGTAAGGGCTCAGAGCAGATCCCTGATGTAATCCCACCCCTGACAATGTTTATTCATCTCAAACTGTTGTAATTTACAATTGAATGTTCTAACAGGTACCTGTCTGTCACCTGTAGCAGAAAGTCTACCATCTTATACCTATCTGTAAAGGTGACAATTAAAAAAACTAGGTGGATATTGTGTCAAACTTGAGGGGTCCTTGTGTGTGTGTTTGCATTGTGTCTTTGCACACATCAGTGTTTGTCTGATGGATTTGCTGCTCATGTCCACGCTCCAGAGAGGGGGTTCCCATGCTCTCAAACAAGGCAGTGTTTACTTAAATTACTGCAAACCATATAAAGAGTGATACGAGGCTTAAAACATGAGATAGAGAAGTAAAGGAGACAGTCAGTGCACACAAAATCACAGACGAAAATAATGGTGGGTAAGTAATTTCTTGACAGCCACTCTTCCACTTAGACCCTTTCTGATAAAGCTTCAGTGAACAGTAGGTGAAACAAGTGAAGTGAACTTTTTCACCAGTTTCCTCAAATTTTTAAGGACTCACTACATACACACAAAGCACAGTTTTTAAGGCTAATAGCTCTTTGAGAATTGTTTGATATTTCACGTTATGAAACCACTCTGGCCTATGCAACACTGCATACTGTGAAAAGTATTACTACTGTTTATTTCATCATCCTTAGTTAATCAGTGTGTTTACTGGACTATTATTTTGTCTCAGTTTTACTGAAGTAAACACTAAAAAGTAATTAACACTGGAAATACTCAAAGTCATTATAAATTTACAATAAATGCTAATAAATACTGGAGTATTATAAAAGATTAGCACTATAGGACACTTTATTTTAGTTTCCATATAATGGCCCAGTTGCTTAGAAGTACTGTACTTATCTCACAACATACATAGTGTTCAGAGCACAATGTTGTGCTCAAGTATCTGCACTAAAGAGGTGATTGTTTTGTGTGTGCGTTATGCTTGGACACCAGATGTGAAACCCATCCAACAAGACTAACACCTGGGCTCATCGGATGGTGATCATGAGAACACATGGCTACATCAAAAGGGAATGGGTTCTTCAAAGGGGAATGTTTTGACAAATAGTATGACGTTGAAGTCTGACCTAGCTAAAAGTAATAAACTACAAACGAGAGAGTACCATTTTATTAGAGCTGAATACCTGCTAGAATGGAGGCAGGAGGGGGAGGGCACAGTAGGCCATTCTCTATAAATTAAGACCCCCCCTCCTACCGCCCGGTGTGTCTGTCTTTAATAGGGTTTGATTTTGTTTGTCTACTGTTTGCATCCCCCAGGGCATTTTTGTCTCTTTTTTGTCTGAGCTTTGGGTTTATTGGAAATGCTTTTCAATAAACTCTTTTATGCAATTTAAACTTGAATCTATAGTGGTTTTTGTGTATTTTCTGACTACATTAGTAATAGTTTAAGATTTTTGTTTAGAGAGTAAATCAAATCTTCACCTCCAATTTTTGAAACAACAGAATAGCCTTGTTGGTGCCTATCAAACTATTATCTCTGCAGTTTATTCTTGGATTCAACGAAAGAAATGGGTAAAAATTATGTGTTTTTGGTACAGCCTGCTTGTAACAAAGTACCTAAAGCTACAATTTAAAATTGGTTCTTTGCTACAGTTGTCTGTTATGTATAGAAAAATTACAGGTTCATCTCTTGAGTAAGGAGTCTTTTTATGTATGAATGATTCAGGGGACAGTGTTATGTGGCTTAACAAAAACAACTAAACAAAAATAAGAAACCCCAACAACATACTCTGAAAATGGTCAGGTTCAAGGACTAGACCGAAAATGAATGACAAAGCAGTCAATGTCCCAAGAAACATTTTATAGACCTTCAGAAAACCCAAAGAACTATTGTTCAAGACCACTTTAAAAAGTGCACAGTACTATATAACAGAAATGAATAGCCCTATAAGAAAGTGATTTTGCAATGTCTTCTTGGATTGATGGTGATGGACTTTTTTCAGTACTCTTTAGCACTTGATATTAAATAATCGATTAACTGAAGAAAACTACCTGCCAGGTTAGTTCATGATTAAATATCTTAGTTTCAAGCCCAGGTGACTATTACACAGTTTCATGAAGAATGTGGAGTTAGTAACATGCAATTTAAAGTTTTTCACAGGCATTTTACACATTTTTCAAGGGCAAACACCCCCCAAAGACGCCGCTTAAATTGAAGGGTTTTGCAAAGTGAGACCACTTAAAAGAGTCACAAAATATTTCTGCCACAGAAAGGCCATGGTGAAACCAGTGATAAATGATGGTGCTGATGAAGGCTACCTAAACTGAGCGAGCAGCAGGCCTCCCAGGGACGATCCGCAGATGGAGAAACCCATGGCGATGACGCCGTTCCAGAAGCCGAGCTCCCTGGCAGTCATGTGGTGATCCAACAGGAACAGAGGAAACATGGTTACTGCACCCTGCTCACCTGCATACACAGTGATAGTAGACAGAGGTGGACAAGAAGAAGAAGTCCAAATGAATGATGAATTAAAATGGGTGAAGGGTCAGGATGGTGGTATAGGGGTTGTAGGATACAATGAGTAAAAGACGCATTATCTACCGTATACATCTGACTAAGCATTGCTATTTTCACCAACGGTAAATATAAGAGACACTTTCTGAATACACATGCCTATTCCAATCACAGTCAAATATTATGAGGGTGCTGTATCAAACTGTTTAGCCTGCAACACTGAAAAATAAAACATGGTTTTCCTGGGATGACGACTGCAGAATCAAATGCGGAACATGTGGCGCACCCAGGCCTATTCCTGGAAAGTGTCAATAATAGATGCCTGACAAGAAAAAGAATACCATCAGTCACTTTATCAAACGGGGGCCTAGCACTTTTCCTAAAGCACAAAAAGGAAAACACAACAAAAACACAGAAACTTCCACAGATGAAACAGACCGCACAAAGACCTTTCAGTCAAAATAAAAAGTTTCTGTCAGGCAGTAAGACTTTCTCTGTGTGGTATTGAGTGTGGGGGTAATGTTCTGCTGAACATTACAGTAAAATATTCAGTGGTGCCGACTATACGCCATTATTATATTAATGGAGACTGACTTCAGAAAGACAGTGGGACCAAGGAGCTGTATGAGTGACAGCTTGGCTCCCAGACTGCTGTCAAATACGACACAACACAACCGACGACTCACTCACTCAGTCAGCCAGGAGACAAACAAAAATAGAGAACGAGGGGGGGGAAAAAAGACAGATGAAACAGACTGAAATGAAAAAAATAATAAGAGAAAGCCGAGGAGCTAGGTAGGGAGTGCAGCAGCGGAATTAGAGTGTCACTGCCGAAACAGCGGTGTGACAAGCCTGCGGAAATTCGGGGAAGGAAACGTGGATTCTCCACGTCTCCCTCCTCTGTCACTCATATTTTACTGCTGGAAATTTGCATATGGTTATCAGAGATGGGAATGACCATGTTCGAGCTTGTCCTGAAAGGTCATTTAGTCAGAAAGGATTACTTCTAAAACAAAAGTGTTTGACTGTAAAATATTTGTTGTTTAGTGCTTCAGAAAATATGCAGAATGACCCAAGAACTGCCACTGCAGCAAATCTAAAAAGGTTTCTTACATCACACAAAGGAGGGAAACCCCATAAAATGTGCAGATTTTAATAGTGGTTGATTTATATTGCTAACTTGAAATGAATAAGTCACATGTACTAACAACACATAAAACCAGAAGTTTAAATTTCACAAGGGATATCCAGAACTTGTGCATAAATAATAATAATAATTAAGGAAAAATAATATTACACTGATGCATCACTAAAAATTAATCAATGTCTCACTATTTCAAAACTATTTTTACAATAAATCTAAAAAAGTTTGACTAATTATAGAATGGATTCAGAACAATTTTGACAATTCTTCAAGGAGCAAATTCAGATTCAGAGCAGAATGTTTTTGGGTTCCCGCCACACAAATGTAAAGACATGATGCTTTCCCTTTTTCTACATCCTGATAAAGTAAATATTTTTGAGTGCTGGTTGTAAAAAACAAAACAAAAAACCCCCCAAACAAACAAAGAAAACCCAAGCCATATTTTACTGCAGTCAAAGCAATTAAACGGTGGCAAAAAGGGAAAATCTGAGTAAATGAGTGGTAACAACGATGCTGCAGACATTAAAATCCTTGAACTTTAATGCACCTTGTGAGGAAAAAAAACAAAACACTGGAGATCATATTAGTTTTGATCATCGGTATCTTATAGAGATTACACTCATAAACAGTGACACAGGAATTTATTGTTTATTACAGTATGGCACATTTTTTTCAGCGGTCAAGCGCAACTTAAACGTATAGCAGCAAATTTCTACAGAAAACAGTAAAATCCTTTCAGTCCATGCACTCCGTGGGTGATGTCTGTGCATTACTCACATTTTAATCTGTCATCCTCTGTGCTGAACTGTTCTGAGTTGTATCAACTGAGCAATAACCATGTTAGTCATAATAAAGTAAACACTGGCAGCAGCAGTACCCATGATGCCAGAGTTGTTTACCCATGGTTCTGCGCTCCTGTGCCTGTCTGTCTGTTGTTCAGCTCAAAGCTCAGAGCTTTCACAGTCCTGCCTTCAACTAATTATTTCTTTAAAGGGGGGAAGGGGTGGTAACATGCAGGCACGCACACACACACACACACACAAAACAAGGCTGATTATTCCTTTCTATAAATATTCTCAAAGCAACAATTGTCCATTTCAGCAGGGATTTCATTAAACATCCGCTAAGATTAAACAGAGTGGAGGGAAAATCAGAACGAATGGAACAAGACTGAAGGAGAGAGATGGCAAGAGAAGAAGAAAGTGATGAGGGAGAAATAAAGAAAAGGTGAAAAACTAAGAGAAAACAGGAACACAAAAAAAAAGAAAAAAAGGACGAAGAAAGAAATAGGTGAAAAGGGCAAGAAAAGCAGGGGCAAAAGTGATGTGGTGCAAGAGACAACAATCATAAAATACATAAAATGATATGAGTTAAACATGACTGGAGAGATAGGACAGGGATGGAGACTGCTAGAGACAGAGGAAGAGGAGGAGGGGCAGATGAACAGAGACAATGTTAGGAGGTTAGTGAAGAGGAAACAGAGGAGGAATGGCAGGCTCAAAGAAAAGTGTTTACAGAGAGAGCAGAAAGACAGCATTATTTAACATTATAAGTGACAGCATGAAGGAAGCTCTGTTTATTCTACTAATTTAAAAAGTGCCCTATAGTAGGGTGGTGCAGATGGACAATGATCTCTGGGATAAGCGACGATCTCTTGACAACCAAGAGAATGTTTTGTTTTCTCATCAAAGCATGAAATTATTACCATCAATATTACATTCATATGACAGTTTATCATGTCTCCTCAACTTTTTAGCTCTTGGTGTGAGTGGCCGTGAGAGAAAAACTGTAGGTGAAGAGTACAGGACAGACAGATGAGCTACTTTAAACATACATAAAGAAGTTGGAAGAAATCAAAAAGAGCCAGGCAAATGTTATGACATAATACTGTTTTAGCTGTCCAGCTGATATCTGTCCACTTCTGTTAATTACAGCAGACAACAAAGCTCTCCTGCTGGTATACTTTGTTATTTCTCTTTGTGCTGGAAGTGGGAAATAAGCTCCCCGGTGTGTCTTTTCCTCTCTTTCATCAGGAGCAGTAACACTGTTGTTTTTTTAGGGCACACAGTATGAATCAGGGTGGGTGGCTAGCAAGTGCCAGTGCACAAACGAATAACAAAAATACAAAACCTGGCATTGATCGATGACACTGATGACTCATATCATTCTGATAGATATCAAAACCATTCAGTGAACCCACGTGCCCTATGGATGGAGAACAGATGACAAAAACATGCCATCATAGGATAAAAGTGATCAGATCAAGCAGGACAAGTGGGCCCAAAATATGCATAACAGAGATTTTCTCACTGAACTGGTCAACTTTTCCTTAACTCTTTACCCCCTTAAAAGTCTACTAGGAATAACCTTTGAAGCTCTCTTCTGAACTGAGAGGTTTCTGTCAGATGTCAGGCCTGCTTATAGAAAATGACTGTGTGACCATGAGAAGTGCATCGGCTAGCCTTGGAAAAACCTGAAAACTATTGGTCATTAAACCACGTATTTATTGAGATATACAGAAATATCAAAAAAGCGTCATTAAGGATATAGGGCAGGTCATCAAATGTCGCCTTTATGGGGGAAAGAGTTAAGCCTCTCGGTTGCCTGTATAAGCATGTTTGCAGCAGACGGGGGATAACTGGTTATATGTATAGGGATCACAGACAGATAAGCTTGAGATGAGGGGAAAAGGTCAACGAGGACATTGGGGTGAAATGCTGACATTCATGCTGCACCTTAAACAAAAGAGCTGGCAGAGCAGGTCCAGGAGAGATCACCGAGGACACACAGTCAACATTTAGTGACCCTTTATCACTCCCTGGTGAAAGCAAGGTAAAAGGAGACAGGTTCATACATACTACATGTCTCAGCAAAGCACTACACACACTCTCTCACACACTCACACACACAAACATAGGTATAAACACACACACCTTCAGCTCTTTGGGTTCCCTCAGGACAGAAGAGTAAACAGAACCCTCTCTGAACACAATTACATATAATCCTGTGTATATTAGGCTATTGACACAAACAAGTCCCTGCAGATCGATGCAGATGTTCCCCATGGCCCGTAGGTCTCACGAACACTGAACGATACATCATCACTCCAATTCAAACCTGCTACATTACTGGGCTGCTTATGCTTGTCACTTGTGTTTATTTTCTTAGTGCAGTATTACTATGCACATCCTTTCCATCTTAAGGCAGCTGCACAGTTTCCATTTAGGTTTTTAAAGCATTTCAAGCAATCAGGGGAATATCCTCAATAGTTGTCAATTAATAAAGGCAGCTCATGTTGATTTCAGTTCATTAAGGCAAATCAATCATAAATACCTGTGGTTCATGTGGTAAAAAGGAGGATTTATATCTTTAAATGTCTAAAATGATCATGCACCCATGGATAAATGTGTTTATTTCTCTTTCCATTTTGCTCTCCGTTTCTCAGGGCACCATGTGGCGGTTGTTCATTAATTCATCCCCTCCTTCAGCCTCCCTTCCTGCAGGCCTTCCTTTTCCCTCTGGAAAATAACCCCCACTCTCTCTCCAAGTTTTTCTCTAAATCTGCTAGCTAAATCTAATGCAGCAGTGCTGCATTAAATTCTTTCCTTGCAAACCTTATATATTTTTTAAATTGCTGAGGCATTGATGCAACTTTGTGGTTATCCTGGAGGCATTAGTTGATGGTGCCAATGAGCTGTATCACAGTACACTGCTGCAGTTTCTCATATTATGTTTCCTAAATTCATATATCCTCAAAGCCATCTTTTGAGCAGGAAATGCTAAAGTTAAAAGCAGGAACAAAGCTTCA